ATGATTGATATAGTTAGTTTTATTCATGTTTTAATGTTGCAGAGCACTGTCATTTTTGCAAATAGTTCAAAGTTTAAATTGGTATATATGTGACTTATCTGTCCATTTTGTGCTAAATTTAGCAACTAACATCAGAAAATGGCACAGAACAAGATTCTTTTTCACTCTTATAGACCTACCAATTTCAAGTTGAATGTCATTTTGCATTTTTCTTAGACACCTTTAAAAATGATTTTTATTCCCATGGCTTTTTTGTACTTTGGAAACTAATAATTCAGTAATGTTTTTCTTTTAAGGATTTTTGATGATTAACACTGAAAAAACAATACAAATCAAGACAGCAACAATAATGATAGTAATATGAATCATAAAATAATATTCAGTGCAAGTAGCTTACATCTTCTTTGATGGGGGCCGGTGAAGGACCTGGATAATGGATAGGGGGGCGCTGGCCCAAAAAAGGTTGAGAAACACTGACCTAGAGCTTTGGAAGCAGAGGCTTTCCCATTGCATCTCAGATTTATCTCTTATAGATAATTCTGAATGGAACTGTCTTATTGTGTAGATGAATGGTGCAAGTCTTCTTGGGAAGGTGATGAAAGGAATCCGGGAAGTGAATCAACAGAGTGGATGGAGGAGAGGAGAACAGTCTTTGGGTGAATTTTTTTCAGTAAGGTTGAAGGAAACTATGTTGTGGAGATGTTTGAGAGTGTACACATAACTCAGCAGCAGATGGATTGGATGGAGCCAGCTGTGGAGGATAGACCAGAATCAAAAGAACTTGAGCGGAATGAGAAACCAGAACAACACTAACAGAATCCAGGCTTGGAGATCAGTGAGAACCTACACAAAGAAATATTCAAGGAAAGTAATATTCAATAAGAACCAACAATAGGTGAGACACTAGGGTAACTCAGAGGGTTTACCAGTGCATGATTAACTCTCAGATGTCAAAGTTCTGGTAAGGACAGGTTTAATCTGTGAGACATGAAAGGTGGGATGAATCTGGAGGGTAGGAATAAGGCGGAAATGAACAGATGTGGGGCTGATGATGCAGTCCATTTTGGATGGACCTATGAATTTGGGAGACAGTTTTCTGGACATGGATTTTAGTGGAATGTCATGAGATGAGAGCCAGATCTTTTGAACAGATGTGTACTGGGGTGCAGGAGTCCTTTTTTGGCTGACAAAAAGGTGGTTCTGCCCTGCGCCATAATTTGGGATATTTACGGGAAAATACTAATATGGGAGCACAGCAGGAAAGGGGGGTAAAAAACAGTAGTTTCCCAGGCAAAAAGGGGGACTTGACAGGTATGCCTTGTGGAGAGATGGGATACCTCTCTCCATCCATCTACCTGTGGAGATGGAATACCTGTGGAAGATGAGAGCAATACTGTGACTTATATTGGGATGGGGGCAGAACTTTGAGGTGTGAAAACAGTGAATGAGACGTGCTCGGACTGAGGTTAGGACATCGGTGCAGTTCGTAAGTCTGGTTCCGGGATTAGGTTAATCTTGAATGGTTTGGCTCACAATATTTTCAATGTACCATGAGAGGGTACCCATAGTACATGTGGGAATGATTGGCACTGGAATCTTTTCTGTGTCATCGATGGAGTACTGACAAGATGTAAAACCCTGGTTTTACATTTTTAGATCCTGGACGGTATGAAATGGGCAAGTTCAAATGTGAGAAGAACAAGTATCTATGGAATTGATGTGAATTAAGTCTCTTGGCAGATTGTAAATAAAATCAGTTTTTATAATCTGCCCGAACCACCACAGGATGGAGGGTGCCCTCCAACCAATGGCACCACTCCTCCAGAGCCATCTTAATGGCCAAGATCTCACGACCCCCCAGATCATAGTTTCATTCTAGAAGAGACTGCCTGTCAGAGAAAAAATCCCAAGGATTAAGCTTTTGGTCTGTCTCAGAATATTGTGATAAAACGGCTCCGACCCCCATTTCAGAAGCATCCCTCTCTCCACGAACTGCTTTTGGAAATCAGGCTGAATGAGTGTGTGCTTGTTTTTCCAGGTGGGTGAAGACAGCTCCAACAGGAAGTTTTTGGTCAGCCGGCTGTTTGATGTTGCTGAAGGATCCACATTGGAAGAATCATCCACCAGCTGCATTCGACTAGAGTGGAACAAGGGGATAGTGGGACACGTAGCTTCCACAGGACAGCTGCTCAATATCAAGAATGCATATGAGGTGAAGTCTGTGCTTTTTTTGTAATGTGTGGTTATTTTAAGCATGGTTTTTGAGTTTGTGTCTGTGCTCTAATAATTGGGGTCAATTAGTTGTTCTTGCTGACAGAGTAAAGGTCTTGACCACAGCTCACAGGAGACTAAACCAAGGAAAGCAAAATTAGGTCAAAGGGCTCATTTGAAGGCTTTATCCTTACTATACACACACACTTATTTGCTGCTGTAATGACTATTTTAGTAAAGTGATCTACATTGTCATATTTCTCCAGCTACCAATTGAAAAAAAACTATTTACAATGGTGCTATCCATCCATCACTCCATCCATCCATCCTTTTGGTGTCATAATTTTTTATTCTGTCTTTCTATGTCTTTCTCTTTGTCTGTCTGTCAAATGACACTAATGAAAAAAGAGCAATTTGCAAAATACATGTCCATCCATCCATCCATCCATCCATCCATCCATCCATCCATCTATTGCCTGACCATCCATTCCTCCATTCAACATCCATCCATTGCCTATATATCTGTCCGTCTGTCCATCCATTCTTGTATTGCCTGACCACCCACCCCACAGGATGAAATTAGGTCTGATAGGAGTCAAAACCCAATGACGACTCAAATATAACTCCTAGATTTTTTTACATTGGATTTGCTTACTGAGCAAAAAAAAGTAACTGTCTGAATTTAGAATGCAAGTGACAGGAACTATTATTAAGGTATTTGTCTTATTTGTGTTTAAAACATTTACAATCCTGACTAAAACCAGACATATTCTGAATAATAAATCACTTCATATTCTATACAACTCTCTGATTTTGCCATATTTAACATATTGTCCAGAAGTGTGGGGATTAATTCCAAAAGCTCTTTACATCCACTAAGTATCCTACAGAAATGAGCCATTAGAATCATCCATAATGTTGGTTATTATGAGCACACAAACCCGTTATCCTTAAAATCTAGAATTCTTCGATTTGAAGAGCTGGTGGAATTTAAAATTGCTTAAATTATGTTTAAGGCATCTAATAAACTGCTGAGCTCAAACAGAGCATGTTTGTAACAGCTGATCAACAGTTCAAAAGCTCAAGTATGACCACAGCTGTTAAGAGAGCGCAAGACTAAACAGCAGCAAGAGAAGGAGGCTCATATCCCCTACTCCAACGTCTCCTTTGAAAAACTTCTAACCATACAGCCAGACAGAGATTCTAAGAGGAGCAGCAGAAGCAAAAGAAGTGGATTAGCACACGACGCCCAGATATTTGTTGTATTTTTTTTTTTTGTCTTTAAAGGATAAGTTCTTTTTTGAGACATTATTTTGCTTTGTCTGACCAGAGCTTTGGATGCGCACTGCACTTTGCAGCTCATGTTACATGAAGCATGTGGTACCAACTGCGGCCACCAGGGGCCCCCAAGAGCATTTTATTTTTTTCTTTTTATCCATAAAATAATAATTTCTAAATACATGGTGGAATTGTAAGACAGGCTAAAACTGTCTTTTGTATTGTGAGGTAACAGCAGAATAATCAACTCACTAGTACTAAACGTAACTGTATTAAAGTACACCAGCCATGATGCTTGTCTCTTCTTCTTTATTCATCTTCTTTTCTACATAGATCTCTGCACAACTCTTTACTCATGCTACCTGGTGGCAACATTGTGAACACAACATTTTCCCGTTTTGTAAAATGACTTACTTGTATAACAGAAGAATACAAGTTTCAATGTAAATAAGAAACATTGAGTAAACCTCTCGGAACAACCTGTAAGTATTAAGATAAATGTATGTTACCTTAGCAGATAGCATACGCAATATCAATATCAATATCAAAATTCAACAGAAAACTTCTGTAACCAAAATATTGTAATATCAGTATTTGCAGTCAGACATGGCCATAAACAGATATGCTGTATATATTTTTTTCTTCTCTTAACACATTAATAATTAACTTTTACTATCAGCACAAGAGGAACAGATTATTTTCAAAACAACCAATATAACAGCGTAGCATCTTATCTTTAGAAAACATTTGCATAGGGTGCTGTGGTGGCATTGGGGCAAAGCATATTATTTAACATTAAAGTTATTTAAAATATTGAATATGACTTGACATTTTAATAGAGGGTAGTGTGTCTCATGTAAAAGCATGAATTACCACTTTTCTGTATCAGTTGGTCACAAGGCAAGTCATTTATTAACATTTGTTTGACAGGAGTGTTTGGTTCGGAGATTTGTTGACAGTCCCTAAGTGAACCTCTGAGCGCTAGAGGAGGGAGCTAGAGCAGTGTTTTTCAACCTTTTTTGACCCAAGGTACATTGTTTTAATTGAAAAAAATCACAAGTCACACCACCAACCAAAAATATAAATTAAGATACTCTGTAGCCACCAATATTACATATACAGTCTTTCTTATCAAAGTACCTTAAATAGGAATCAAACACAAAAATTTATTTTTTATCATATTTTACATTTCTTATTTCAAATTGCACGTAACATGTCCACTTCAAAAATACACCTGAACACCTGAACAGGGCCACATCAATGTGGTGTTAAATTTAAAGAAGTTGTAGAAAACTTCAAAGTGTTCTACAAACTATTTCACAAGCATTCTTTTAGCCGGAATACAGAAAATAATTCTTATTCTGAAAGAAGCAATAATATTTGGGAAAGATTTCACTTCATATTCACTGTTACAATGTGAAGAGTTGCATGTACAAAATGTCAATATCTGTATATTTTACCCACCTAGTGTGAAACCTGTGCATGTTTGGATGAAAACAGCTAATTTCCTGGCAGAAATTGAAGAAAGACAAAGCTCTTCCTCAGCAGCTCTCAGTCTCTCTGGTTTTAGTTTTTATAGTAGCCAGGCTTGAGAAGCTCACTTCACACAGACATGTGGGAAATGGACCCATGTTCTTTCCAGCTACTGCTGAGCTTCACTGTCTTTTCCATCACTGCTGTCACAGTCTTGCTAGATACGATGCTCTCACCGCTACCTGTAACATTCATGGCTCACTAATTATCTTGTTTTAAGGTAAAATGCTCTGTACCTACTGCCATCTAGTGGTAAGAAAATTACATGATTATGCCACTCTGTCTCTGCTGTAGTCGCTACTACAGCAGAGACACTCGAAGATGGCATTATTTGCAAATAATTCATTCGTTTTCAAAAAATCTTTTAAGACCAATTACCAGACTTTAGAGCGCACCATACTATAAGCCGCTGGTATCTCTGCTGCTCTCGGTTTTCCATAAGGACCCAGCAGAGGGCAGCGTCTGCTGGATATATTAAGGATGCAGCCCTCTGTCTCCAATGGTTTCGTTCACGCCGAGTTTACGTGCAGCGGCTCTATTTCCCTCCTGCAGTGCCAGATTGACAGCCCTCAACTTACAAGCTGCATCATCTGAGTTTGAAAACATTTCTCTGTCGTGCCTGCTGCTAGCATGTGCTTGTTCTAAATGGAAATTTGCTTGTTCTTCTTTGATTTACAATTCTGACTTCTAATGATTCACTTCCTGCTAAAGAGCCCCCTGGTGGTTGAAGAAAAATCCACAGAAAAGCCGCACCGGGCTACAAGCTGCATTGTTCAAAGCGTAGGGGAAAAGTAGCGGCTTATAGTCCGAAAATATGGTACCGTACGTGAAATTGGATAATTTCCACGGCACACCTGACGATCACTGCACAGTGGTTGAAAAACACTGAGCTAGAGAACGGCTGGCCAAAATTAGCGTTCATAAATCGGATCAACCTTGAGTTAAACGCCACTTGCTCAGTGGATATTAGAATATCCAACTCGAAACTAACTTCTCTGCAGTAGGTAACACAATAAAACCACCGGGATAAAGTTTGTTTTGGTCTGTGGCCTGTAAAGATGGCACCGAGTGAGTGCGCGCGACGTAAACACCCCACAACGTCTGACGCAGTGACGTTGGTTCCAAAGCTCTATTGACCAATAGTAGAGGAGCTGGACATACAAGGCAGCTCTCCTCATTAACATAACAATGCAGCAAAAAAAGAGCAAGCAGAAAAGAGAGAAGGGGAAAAAAAAGACAAAACAAAATATCTACTTTTCTTGACAAAAACGCATGTTTAGGGGAAATGAAAAAGAAAATATATACATTACTTGACGGAAACTCATGTGTAAGGAACAGGAAAAGCAAAATATATATGTATGCTTTTATTTCTTATTAAAATATATATTTATGCTTTTATTTCTTATTATGTCTGTTTTGGTCCTCCATAGTTGCTTGCATTAGCTATGATAAAAGCTTATTGTGTGGAGGTGTTGACTCATGTGTCAGAAATGTTCTTCAACTCTGTGACCAGAATCGGCTTGTTCCAAAAAGAACAAGCCGATTCTTCTGACCAGCTCTTTATTATTAATGTTAATACGTTAGGACTGGAGTCTCACTGAGAACCGTTCTGTTCTTTGTTTTTGTAATGCTCAGTGCACACTGCAGTATCTATTATTATTTTATTTTATTCATTTTATTTAATAATTGAATAAATAAAATACAAGAATGTAAGATCACACAGAGCGCATGCTCATTGCACTTTGATTATTTTCATCACCTGCCATCGGTGCGCTACCTGGTTTCACGCAGCGGGAGACAGTGACAGTGGTGTGCTCCTTTTGCTTGGTTACTTCTTGCTTGTTTCTCCTTGGTCAGTGTTCATAGTTGAGCGTTGTTTTCCATTGGTGCATGGTGATGATTGTTACGTTTAATGATTCAGACATTGGTGGTTCCTGACATTGACCATATGAGCAACTACCCAGGGCTTTATCTTGTTTGGGGCGACATGAGACCTCCGCAGATTGTGGCACAGAGATTGAAGCAAAACAGAACAAAAAAGAATTTAAATTGATAATTATTTATTTTAGCACTTTAGCATTAATATCTAGGTGTTTTTATATGAGAATGTGGATCTTACAGATCAATTTTAGAAGCAATTTTTAATCATATTTCACATTTTATTGTCATGCAGTGCAAGACACTGGTCTTGGTCTTGACTCGGTCTCGACTTCCATTGGTCTTGGTCTCGACTTGGTTGTTTTGGACCCTAAAAGTCTTGGTCTTGTCTCGGTCTCGATGCACTCTGGTCTTGGTCTTGGGTTAGGTGGTCTTGACTACAGCACTGCTTGTAGTTGAGGATGTATCAGTTACAAGTAGGAGTGTAATGTTTTGATAAGTGTGATGCATGCCATTTCTTACAATCAACCAACAAATAAGTACACAGACCTATTTTCTTCTTAACAGTCACTGGCTGAAAGTTGTGTGGATGTGCTTTTGGCACTTGAGTCGGCTTCCTTACAGTTTTTTTCTCCATCAAAAAGAAGAGAGCTTGCATCCTGACTTGAGTTTGTGTAGGACTGCATTTTCACCTGCTTGGTTGAAACTCTATGGTGGAGTGAAGCTGTATTAGTGAGTGCAGGTTGCTGAAGTGGTTTTTGAAGCTAGGTGAAGTCTGGATCTGATGCTGATGCATTGTTCAGCCATTTGCTGCTCTTATATAAGGTCTGCTTACTGTCGGTTGACATTTAAAGTTTGCACACAGCACATAAGAAGTCAAAAATTAAACAAACAGTCCATTCATTTGCTGCTGTGCTGAAGTGTAACCTCCGTTCTGCAACTTTTGAACAGTTTGTTTAAGTCAGGGGTGCCAAAAGGAGGTCTCTGCAGCTGTGCTTTGAGTTGGAGATGGAACCAGTTCCATTTTTAACCCAGGAACACTCCTACGCAAAAGTATTCATACCATCTGAATATTTTATCACATTAGAGCCATTAACATGGATGGGTTATATTGAAATTTAATGACGGTAGGGGTGCACCTATTGCAGTTTTCTGGCCAAACATTGATCTTTAAAATACATGAACTTCACCAATATTTCCCAAAATATTTTTAGCTGGCAATGCAGCCAAATGTGGTGGAAACATGCATTGCTCCAGCAATGTTGAGGGAAAATACATTCCAGACTTTTCAGACCTTCATTTACTAAAAAACTAATTGCAAACTATGCATCGTTTTTTTTTCTTTCACTTCATCAATATACACTACTTGCAGTTAGTCTGTCACATGTAATCCACATAAAAGAGTTCAGAGTAGGGGTGAGTGATATAGAGTTAAAGTTTTATCTCAATATTTTGTGATACTATTGTGATGATACTAAAAGTTGCAATAAGAACTAGTCACTATTTATTTTTAGGTAACTGTCTTGCTGACATGGCAATAATGTCCCCAGAAACAGAAATACTGCTCTTGATAAACATTCCCATATGATTCTTTAGGATACCAGTCACATAAAAAAGTGTGATTTATATCACTAAGCTGTGCACAATAAGTTCATTAATCATATTTTTCTATTTATTGATACTCTGACTGAACTAACAGTTGAGAAAATTGTAACAATAAAAATCCTGACAGTATGGGCAGTATGGGTCTGACAATATGTCCTAAAGATCATAATATGGAATTTATTGTGACAACAACAAATAAGAAAGAAATTTATCGCAATAAATGATAAACAATGCAATAAATGCCCAAATGTAGTTCAAGGGATATGAACACTTTACAAGCCCCGTGTGCTTAACTTAATAGCTATTAGAATTGGTCATATTTTGCACCATACCATGTTGTGAAAGAACATCATGTTTGGGACCAAAGTAACCTCACTTCATACTAACAAGATGACTTGTGGAATGTCTGCCTCCCTAGGACCCAAGATTCAATGCAGAAGTTGACCTGATCACAGGCTACAAAACCCAAAGTATCCTTTGTCTACCCATCAAGAATCACAGAGAAGAGGTGAGGTGCCATATCTTTACACTCTGTTCAATCCTTTCTGTGACTGATGAAATCAGATGCTGTGCCACAATAGCTGTGGATTTTAAGGTGAATAATGTGGAGGTAGTCCTTCTCTTTCTTTATAATTACCAATGATTAGAGCACAGGGAATCTTTGTGGATCTGTATGATTGTAGTCCATGCAGATATAATACTGCCTTCCCACTGGACTGTTATACTGGTGTTTTCAGGTTATGTGACAGATGAGTTGTGTAAGTTCTTGAGATTTGAACCTGTTAATTAGTTAATTTTCTTCTTAGTATAACAGTTTGGGTCCCAGAGGGACATGGTCAAATGCCTTCTCCAAGTCCTCAAAGAACATATAGACCCTGCTGGGTCCTGGAGGGTGCGTGGGTGGGTGTAGAGCTGGTCCAGTGTTTCACAACCAAGACAAAAACCACACTGCTCTTCCTGAATCCGAGGTTCGACTATCTATCAAATGGACCCTCCTCTCCAGAACCCCTGATTTAAACCTTACTAGGGAGTCTTAAGAGAGTGACCCCTCCGTAGTTGGAACACACTCTGCAGTCACGCTTTTTGAAGAGGAGGACCACCACCCAGGTCTTCCAGTCCAGGGGAACTGTTCCCAATGTCCTTCCAATATTGAGTCATGTCAGTCAACACAACCCTTCAATAACTATAGCCTTAAGGAACTCTATGCAAATCTCATCCACCTCTGTTTTGACTGCCTGGACCCATCTGCTGTTCCTGGGGTCCCTGAGGCCAAATAGGCCCGACAGGACTCCTTCTTTAGCCTGACACCATCCCTCACTGAAGGTGTCTTCCAGCGGGTTTGAGGGTTGCTGCTGCGACAGGCGCCGACAACCTTGCGGCCACAGCTCTGATAAGCTGCCTCAACAATGGAGTCGCGGCATATGGCACACTAAGCCTTAATGTCCACAGCAGTAAATTAACGCAATTACAATTTATCTGGAAAAACGAAGTTAGAGGAAGCTAATTTTCCTCTAGAAAAGTAGAGGAACAAACTAGTAACAGACTACAAAGCACCAAAATCACCTGCTCAATGTTTTCTAATTTGAAACTAAATTAAAAATTAGCTCTGCTATTAGCATGTGCCCATTCCTACACATCTAAGTCCTTGATGTCTTCCAATACTGGACCCCTCTATTCTTTGTAATTTTAAGACTTTCTCCATTCTACCCTTTTTTCTGAACTCTGCTCCTTGGAAACTTAGGAGCGTTTCTTATAATGCTTTTTAAAAAGCACAGTATGCTAAAAGGCTAGAGTGGGATTCCCTCTAGGAAGCAGTCTGCCCATATACCCTACAACATGTTAACACTCTGTAATCATGAAACTGTGGTATTTTTACTCTGTTTTCATGGTGTGAGAATAATTAGTTACCCCAGTGTGGGGTAAACTCTGCTGCTTAAAATAAATAAAACGTAAATGACACAGTCTATAAAACAGCTTTATGAATGGAATGGATCCACAATATGTTGTGATCTCCCTTCAAAGAACTTTACATCCCACCTTTGTTCTCAAGTAAAAGCAGTATGGCTGAAGTTATTATGTTGGAAGATTCATTAAGCACCTATCTTTCCTCTTCTTAAAGATTTCACACTGATCTCTCAATGAATGCCTCTTCCAGCACCTTTAATAGAAAAAAATGTCTCAAATCAGTGTTTCCCATCATAGTTGACATTGAAGATGGTGTTCTTCAAGTCCTACTCAGCATGTCTCCTAAAAAAGACAGCAGAATGTGTTGATGTAAAAGAGCTCTATTTTTGTCTCCTCTGACCACAGCGTTTTCTCTGAAACCTTTACCATTTAGGTGTTTGCAAGGAAATCAAAAAGGTACAGGTGGTGATTCTTCTGCAGTGTAGCATATTTCTGCTACACTTCAGTCCCTTACAGAGTAGTCTGAGTGACTGTGGTCCAATAGCCTTCAGATCATTATAACAATCCCATTTTATATAACTGTGGGTTGATCCCTCAACCTTCTCATGATTATCTTCACCCTAATATTTTCATTCTCACTAAGCTTCTAGATTATGTCCTTGGAGCTATTAGCAAATCAAATACTTATTTTTCTCCCTGTTGTGTTCGACACCGGAATTTTTTTTTTAAGTCATTAGAACACGCAAATCAATATGAACTTTATAACCATCAGTACTGTATGAAAACCTGTGCCACACTTGGAATAAGGAAGGTAGGAACAGCTTCCATTTGGTCTGATGAGCCAAGAATGACAACAGCCCCCCCTGAGACATGTTGGTTTTTCCATGTAAACATTTAAACCTGCATTTGTAAAAAATGTTTATGGTGTTTTCACTTTCCATTCTACAAAAGAAAAATGACTGAGCACCACCAAACCAGCTCATAAGGCAGTATGTTTTTACAGTCAGTGTGACACATTTAACATAATCCTGCTGTGTCAAGATCTTGTTTTTTTTTAGTGTTTTGATTATTTAATTCTAGTTTGATTATTCTGTGTTCCTTAGTCTCTTTCGTTGATTAGATCAGTCTTGTTTCTGTTTTATTTTAGTTCAGTACTTCTTAGTATTTCTACCAATTTTTTGTCTAGTTACTCCTTAGTGTTAGATTAATTTCTTTCTCCCTTGTGTATTCTCCCTCGCCCCCCCATGCCATTTTCTCTCCCTCTCCTCTCTGCCTGGCTTCTGCTGTTTCTCCTGACACCTGCAAACCGTTAGCTCATCAGTTGGGGAATCATCATATATAAAGTGTGCATATGCACAAAATATCTGCGGCACCATATTTTATGCACAAGTCGGCAAGTATAACAATGAATGTGGGTTAAAGGTTTGTGAAAATATATGCAAACCTTAACCTTTACCTGGCACGAAAATGTGCGCCAGCCACACAAACTTTTAGTGTGGATAATAATAAACTACAGAGAGTAGTTTATTACTCTCTGTAATAAACTACAGAGAGTCAAAACTCACATAAAGATGCAACTGTGTATTGGTCTAAATACACTGAAACCTGACTCCATCCAGACCAAGAACCTGATGTTTTTTCATCATTTTAATCTTTTATTGTTTAAACTTAAAAGATGAAATTGAACCATATTTATCCTCTGACAACAACATAACACACACAAAATAAATAAAATAAAAATTAAAGTAAAACCTCACTCGAATGTAAATACTGGTAGTAAATTTCCTAAGTTTTTGTAAAGATGTAACTGCGCATCGGTCTGTCCGTCCAAGTGCATGAAATGCATGTTGTATGTGGGGTAATTTCATTCTCACTGAAAAAGAAAACGAGGTCAAATTAGCAGATTAACTCCAAACAGGTCAGTTTTGATTATTCTTAAGGTGATCAAGGTGTGTAGACAATCGCACTGTTAACGGCTCCACAAAGGTGTGCCACGTAAATGTGTGACTCTAATGGAGAACATGGCTAATAGAAGGATTCGGAGGGAGCAATTGATCAGAGACCACATTGATATGCTGGGAAATATTTATGATGGTTTATTAGCATTTAGATTGTCCCCTGAGTGATCATCCTTGAGCTCTGTGCAGAACTTAAAGAAGGAGCTGTTCGTTACTGGTGCAGCTGGGACTGCTGCCAGGTCAGGCAGTGCTTCGGTCGAGCTCTGCACACTGTCTTTCTTTAAATCCCAGCTGAACTCCTTGCTGTTCAAACAAGCACCTCCATTTGGATCTCTTTATTTGTTTTTAATTCTAATTGGAATTTTTTCTTTAAAATGTATTACTTTTGTGCGGTGAGCTTATGTACCCTGCTGGCAGATATTAAATAAAAAATACAATTATTATCATTACAGCTACTTAAACTACTACAAACAAGGCAGCGTTTCCATGGTTATTGCTTCACGTGGTGGCAGACGTCCGGGTATTTATTCTAATTTATAGATGTATTTATTGGTGGCTGCAGGGTGGACCAGCAGCTGAGCTCCATTTCCCGCACATTAGGATTGTGTATAGGAAAGGTGTGTGGCCACGTGCGTGCACATTTTTATACATCTGAATTTTTTTTATGCACTGCACTTTTCTAAATTTTTCCATACACCAAAAAAGCCATGCACTCTTTTATACATGAGGCCCCAGGTCTTTTGTTCAGCATTCAGCCTCAAAGTCTTTAAACCCTTCTCTTCTCACACTCCATGCTGGTTCCTCCCATTATGCCCTGTTGTTTTCTCGTTTTTTCCTCTGTCTCTTGCTGGTGTTTTCCTTGGATTTATGGTTTTTGGTCTCCTCTGTCTCCCTGTGTTTTTTTTGTTTATTTTTTAATTAAAACTTTCTACATAATTTATGCTCCCAGCTCCTGTCTGCATTTTGGTCCATCCTCAAACTCGCATCATGACATGCTGTTCTGAAACGGTTTCTGATGATATAAAGCTGCTCTAAGTGAATTGCTGTCTTTGCTTTATTATTATTCCTATGCATTGCAGGTTGTTGGAGTGGTTCAGGCTATTAACAAGAAATGTGGAGAGAACGGTGCCTTCACTGAACAGGATGAAAAGGTTGGTCAGTTTGACTGTGTAACATCTATCAGCCAGTGGTTTTCTACCCTGCTTTACTGTTGCTTTTGATAGTCCTCATCCGTAGTCTGGTAAAAACCAGCCCTTTATTCTACACTTTGCTTCAACCAGAGGGTGTAGATCCTTGGCTATTGAGAAGTAATTGCTGGAGGCATGGACTCTTTGATCCAATCACTAACATTTGGCCTAGGCATATGTAAGGTGCTAGTTTGAAGCTGTGAACCATACCGGAAATTTGCTTGCGCTGTAAACAACCATCCTCCACTATGAAGAGAGAGGTCCTAAGCCAAACAACATCAAATAAAATACCTTAAACATTCCTCTTGCTTCAACTTATTAATTCATTTGTTTCACCATGTAAAAATCCCATTGAGATCCAGATCTCATTTTCAAGAGGGACCTGAGCAGAAATCTGCAATACATAAAAACTTTAATTGTTCAATATTTAGAAGTTAGGCCAACACTGATTGAATGCCTCTGTTCATTTCCTCCACTGTCATTGAAACACTACAGCCTTATATATGCACACCGCAATTTTAAAACAGCACAGCTTCAAACAAGTCCTCCTTCTGTTTGCTAATTGGTCTGGTTGAAATTCTACTGGAAAAATCAAGCTCACTGGGAGAAATCCCAGACAGAGCACTGAAGGGAGATGAGAATTGAGCAGAATTATGTACGTATACATAGTTCATCCATGAATAAAGCGGCATTTGGGTCTCTTAGCAGACTGTTCTGTTTAGCCTTGTCTACAGAACCCTGGAATATGTTTGATTCGGCCAGATCTGTCTGAAGATGGACAGGCGGTGGTGGACTTTATGAAAATGATTAAAATGGCTATTGTAAACCCTGTTTCTCCCAGAAGAGGCAGGGACGTAGGGTGACTTATAAAAGGAGAAGGTAGGAGCACACAGGTGGACTACATCTTATTTAGACATAATCTGAAGGAAATTAATGACTGCAAGTTAGTGGTAGTTAAGAGTGTAGCTGGACAGCTTTGGGTTGAGGACTGTAGAATGAAACTGATAGGAAGATGAAGACAACAAAGTCAGAGCTGAACTGAACTGAAAAAATAGTGCTGTGAGGCTTTTAAGGGGTAGTTAAGGCAGGCTCCTGGTGGTAAGTAGGCAATCCCTGGTACCAAACCCCAACAACCAACCTTGCTGCCCCAGGCCTCCATGCAGCCGGTCACCCTGGCATCCAGGTGCACAGCATTGTACCATCCCATCTGACTGGACAGCTCCAGGGAGGTCAAGGTAGCTGGAGCCTCGTATGGGTCCAACTCAATCCCTGCAGCCCAGAAGGGATTGAGGCATTGACCACCAGCCAGGAGCCCACATGACATGCTGAGAGCCCCAGTATGACACCAGAGTGGCACCCTCCATATGAAATGTATATCTATTTATATTTTACCATGAAGCACTTGCTATATAGATAAAAATGATTTATTACTTACCTCCTATTACATGGTCCTTGCTTACTATTTTGCTTCCCAACAGGATTTTTCTGCCTATCTAGCCTTTTCAGGTATAGTTCTGCACAATGCACAGCTGTACGAGACCTCGCAGTTGGAAAACAGACGCAATCAGGTAAGGGTGGATGTCTGCGCAGAACCGCATACATGCAGGTGTAGCTTAGTGTGTGATGTGCTGAATGTGCAGGTGCTGTTGGATCTGGCCAGACTGATCTTTGAGGAGCAGCAGTGTTTGGAGGTTGTGCTGCGGAAGATTGCTGGAACCATCCTGTCCTTCATGCAGGCTCAGGCCTGCACTGTTTTCATTGCTGATGACGACTCAATGGTCAGCGCACATACACACGTAGACACATAGACACACACTGATCAATCACTTGTATGATGCCTTGCAAAGCATTTATACCTTGTGAACATTTCTACATTCTATTATAACATAATGGTGACAAGAAAAGTAAATGATGCTTCATTTCAATTTTTAATTGTTTTTCACAAATAATAGTTGGGTGTTGTTAAACCCAGCTGTTCTATGAAGGCCTCAGAGGCTATTAGAGAATATTAAATAACCCACTGTCCCAAAAAGACCAGTTTAAAGTTTAAAGCAGTTGGGGTTGGGTTCTGGTCAAATTGGACCAAACTTAAACTTTCTGAGCTCCATACAATCTGACACACTGTATTCATAGTGACACTTGTATTGGTGGCAGAATCTTGCTGTGGGTATGCTGTTCAGCAGGAACACGTAAGTTTGTCAAAGTTTATGGAACTAAATCCAGTAAAAGAAAATGTGTCGGAGACTGCAGGAGACCTGAGACTGCATTAGACTCTCACCATCCACCAGGAAAACCACCGTAAACATACCGTTAGTGGTGCACTGGAGTGGTTTAGATCAAAGTAGATTAATGTGTTAGAATGGCCTAATCAAAACCTTCAAATGTATTTTCACAGACCCTATTTATCCAATCTGATGGAGTTTGAGTGAGTTATTGAAGAATGAGAAGAAATTTCAGCCTGTAGAGGTTTAAAGTTGGTAGAATCTATTGGTGGGCAATGTGGCCTTAAAATTTTATTGCAGTGTTTTGTGGTTAGTACCACAAAAAATGTAATAATAATAAAAAATATGATAAACTATTTATTCTTTTTTAGGTAACTTTATGGCTGTGACTGCATGGCAAAGCATTTATAGCACCACAAACATTGATCTTTAAAACCATTTCCATTTTCCATTACTTAAAGAAAGTTCATATCACCAAACTGCACAACAATAACCACATTTAGTCATATTTTCCAGTGTACTAATATTGGAAAATAGAATTGATTATCATTAAGGGTGCAAATATTTTCAATGTCTCAGTAACTGATTTCGCCCTGTGATCAATTCTGTTGTTTTTGAATGTACACTCTCCATTGACTCACTAAGCAAAACGGCTATTACAAAATGTTCTTACATGGACAACACAGCAGAAACATTTAATCAATTCTACTCTTCCTTGCACATTGCACAAACATTAATGCTTGAACTTTATTTACCACAGTTGACAGACGCACAAGCCCTCCTGTGATTGTACCACCTGAACTCCACTCTAACAAGGCCTGCGATGAATTTGCCAACTTCTTTACAGAGAAAATAAAAAAGGTTAATCTGAACATCCACGCCAAAAAAAAATCAATGCTATGCCCAAACAACAAATACAAAAAATGACTAATTTTCAACTATTTAACTGTAAACGTTTAGAAGAAATTCTAAATCAACTAAGCTCCTCTTCCTGCTGTCCTGCTATCCTACCCACAACTTTCCTTAAAGTCCTGCCTGTCGTTGCCTCTGATCTGATTCAAATAGTGAACTCATTCATTTCATCAGGTGTTTTCCTTCAGGCTTTAAAAACATCAGTTATCAGACCACTGATAAAAAAAAACAATTTGGACAAATCACTACTGCAGATTAACTGGCCAAACTCCAACATTCCATTCATCAGCAAAATTATTGAAAAAACAGTGTTTCAACAACAATGACCAACCGCTTTGATGTCTTTCAGTCTGGTTTCTGTAGTTACCACAGTACTGAGACGGTCAAAGTGTTCAATGACATCCATATAAATAAAGACTGTGGAAAAGCCACTGTGCTGATTCTGTTGGACCTCAGCACAGCATTTGACACTATTACACCTTTCCAATCATTACTGAAGCAATTGGAGAGCTGGGTAGGACTCCCCAGTCCAATACTCAATTGGTTTGAATCTTACATAAAAAACAGGGCTTTCTTTGTTTCAATAGAGGATTCTCATCAAAACGGACAGAAGTCATATGGGGTACCCCAAGACTCAATCCTAGGACACATCTTATTCAATATCTATATGCTCTTAGCTCAGGTTATAACAGGAAGTAAGATAACTATAACACACAACTCTACATTACGATGTCACTAGGTGACTCAGAATCCATCCAATCACTGAATAACAGATAAATATGTTGTAATACAGGGGTCACCAATCTTTTTTTTTTTTTTTTTTTTAAGGTTTTGTTGGCTCTAGTGGCCTTGGGTCCAGAATAACACGAAGGGCTGCTTGTTTGATAAAGACATACATTTTCTTGGCTCAGCCTTTATAACAATAATACATATATGTATATATGATTACATGTGGTCTGATCATATTAATGTTATGGACTACTCATTATAGTTATTGGTAATGATTTACCATGGCGGATATGGTTAATTGCTATTATGTGATAAAAGTTCTTAGTTAAAAGTTTTAAGTTTGATTCCCTTCTGGAGCTTTTCTGTGTGATTCTAAATTGCCCACAAGTGACTGATAGTATGGATTATTGCAGCTGCAGCTGTACGGCTGGACGCACTGAGTACCTTGAGATTTTCCTTTAAATAAAAAAGAAAAGAACAATTATTGTATGTTTTATTATCTAACCCACTTTACTATTAACAAAATTGTGGAGACAAAAAAATATTTTGTGTCAAAACATTTTGTACGTAGCGCACATCAGTGCGAGTCTGTGGGGGTCAAAGGGCATGCCAAAGGCTAAATCTTATTGGTCAGTTTACTTTTCTTAATTTGGTGGCTTGGCGCTTTTTCTGTGAGCTAAAACTGAATGAGCTCCTCCCGTTGTTCTAAGATCCTGCCTGAGCTTTTCTACCGTTCTGACGGTCACCAGTTTATTAGCCTTTTTGTGGTTTCGCGAACTGAAAAGCTGACGGGTCACCCGTCAAAAAAAAAAAAAAAAAAAAAGTTAGAGATCGGAGAGTAGCACAAAACTATCACTGCACCTGACCTGCAAGAGCACAACCAAAACCAGCACAAACCTAAACCACAAAAGCAGCTGATGTTTTTTTTTTTTTTTACACAAACGATGCTATAAAGACATGGAAGTGAAGCCTTACCAGTATGATGCACAGAAAGATGGGGATGTTGATTCCCAGGTTCAGGTGGTGTCAGGAGGAGGAGAAGGTGATGCAACATTGTTTGCTTAATTTATACTCTTTTGGAAACTAGATTAAATTCTTTAACCCGCCGTCTGAGACAGATGTCAGCCATCCGGTGATCCGCCAGAACCGCACACAGTAAAAAGCTCAGCTGGGATCCAAAGACCGCTGTTAGAACTACAAGTGGGATCAAACTCTGCTCATTCATTTTTAGCTTACAGTAAAAGCGCCAAGCCGCCAAATAAACAAAAGTAAACTGACCAGTAACATTTAGGCTTTGACTTGCTGTGGGTCCAGCCGTACAGCTGCAGGCGCTGCTGCCCTCTTGACAACGTCCTGCAGGCGTCTGCACATAATTCTGAACTTTAACCCCAGAAAAGAGTTGTATACATACAGCAAATTATTTTAAACATTTTTATAATTCACTTAAAAACAAAAATCTAAAAATAAACAAATGTTATTATTTCAAGGTAAAAACATTTAATTGAATAATTTTTTTGGCAGTGCTCCCTAATGACAATGGCTATTTTTAGAACTTGCTCTGTGGGCGACTGACATGGTCCCATCGGGCGACCGGATGCCTGTGGGGACCATGTTGGTCACCCCTGTTCCTGTTATAAGCATTCCAGCTGTAACAGATGAACAGAAGCAAAACTTAAGTTATTGTCTTTGGACCTAAGAGGAATGAACTAGAGCAGTGGTGGGCAACTCCAGGCCTGGAGGGCCCGTCTCCTGTAACTTTTACATGTGTCTCCACTTCAACATACCTGATTCAAATAATGAGGTCATTAGCAGGACACTGAAGAACTTGACTGCACTTAGAAGGTGATTCAGCTATTTGATTGAAGTGTGTTGGACCAGGAAAACATCTAAGAGTTGCAGGACAACAGCCCTTAAGGACCTGGATTGCCCACCCCTGATCTAGAGCAAGTCCAGTCCTCAAGAGCTACCGTCCTGCAACTTTAGATGCATCCTTCCCCCAACAGACCGGGATCAAAAGGCTGAATTCCCTCACCAGCAGTCAGTCAGCTCTGAACAGGCCTGGTAACAAACCATTAATTTCATTCAGGTGTGTTGAAGCAGGGATGCAGGATGATAGATCTGGAGGACTGGACTTGAGCACCCCTGATATAGAGTCAACACACAACTTCAGTTATTACATCTGGAAACTAGAGAACAGGTCTGAAGTCTGGGTGGAGTGATGAACTCTGACCTGAACCTTCTGAGCCATATAAAGACAGTTACAAAGCCAGCCTTTTATCACCTGAAGAACATCTCCAGGATTAGAGGACTTGTGTCTCAGAAAAATCTAGAGAAACTCATCCATACTTCTGCGCAAATTCAATCTGGAAGGCTCTTTAGCCTCACCTGCCTCATCAATCAGCGGCCAATCATCGTTCGAGCTCCAGTTGAAAAGGACCTCCTGGCCACAGCCTCCTCCGCTTACCAGCTGCGATCAACCCATCTCCACCTTCTGCTCCTGGCTCTCAGGCCACATTCTTCTTCGACTGCTGCCACCAGTACAGGCCCCCAGGGGCATTATATTCCTATGCAGCATCAGGAATGTTTATCGAGCTTATTGAAGTTCCAGCTCGACATCCCCAGCCGGGGCCTGAATGCCAAAGGACTTTAATGTTTATTTGTCATTAAACTTTCTTTAATCGCTCTCTTTCTCTGTCTGAGTCTCTCCAGATTGAATTATCTTTAGACATATTAATTACTGCAGCAGTGTCTTTATAGGTCTGCCCCACAGTACGCTGCTGCTGGCGTTCTCACTAAAACCAGGAAGATCACATCACCCAGGTCTAAAGTCCTTCCACTGACTCCTTGTAGCTCAGAGAATAAACTTTAAAATACTGTTACTAATTTATAAATCACCACAATACATTAAAGATCTGCTGATGTTGTACCAACCTTCCAGACCTCTCAGATCTTCTGGTTCTGGTCTGATCTGAATCCCCAGAACCAGAACCAAACAAGGAGAAGCAGCATTCAGCTTCTATGCACCACAAATCTGGAACAAACTTCCAGAAAACTGCAAAACAGTTGAAACACTGAGTACCTTTTAATCTAGACTAAAAGTTGCTTTTGAAACATAATCAATTAAACATTAATCAACATTCTCACATGTAATGGTGGAACTTGACAAAATATAATGTGTAAATTGCTGTGTGTTCTTTAACTTTCTACGTTTGTGTTTTTATGATGTAAAACACTTTGAACTGCCTTGCTGCTGAAATATGCTGTACAAACAAACAGTGGCAAAAATGACATTTCCAATAATACTCCATTTTTGTTTTTTTAATGGACATCATTAATTAGAATTTATCAAGACAACATCCATCCATTATCATACACACTTATCCCTAGTGGGGTCATGAGGCGTGCTGGTGCCTATCTCCAGAGGTCAAGGGGCGAGAGGTGGGGTCACCCTGGACAGGTTACCAGTCCATCGCAGGGCAAAGGAGAGACAGACAGGACAAACAACCATGCACACACACACACACACACACACACACTCACACCTAAGGAGAATTTAGAGAGATCAGTTAACCTAACAGTCATGTTTTTGGACTGAGGGGGGAAGCCAGAGTACCTGGAGAAAACCCGTGCATGCACAAGGAGATCAAGACAACAATAAATCGAAATTCTTATATGTTTTTCACAATGAAAAGTGTAATTTCAGCACTCTTGAAATTACAATAAATGCCCACACATAGCAGATATCTACCCCAAAATCCATGAATGACACTTGTATGCTGTTGGAGAGGGCTGACTGACGGAACCCACCACAAGGTTACGTTTGCGGTTAACAATAATCCCCCCACTATTGCCAACTTAATGACTTTTTTGCTATATTTATGAATGTTTCAGACAAAAAAATCAGTATCCACCAAAATCGGAATCAGACTTTTTAAAGATCTAAATTGGTTGAAAAACTGCAATTAGTGCACCTCTTAAAAGCATGCATCATTGTCAATGTACATATTGATTATGGACTACACTGTGTTGTTGGATCACAAAAAATCACAATAAAAGGATGTGATTACAGTGTGACAGAGTTCAACAGGAGGGAATGTGTTTGTCAGGCAGCATAACTGAGCTGTTTTTCTCTTGCTAAAATCTCCCCTTTGTCTACAAACACTGTACCCCTGGGACAGATTGTGCAGGATAATTTTTAATGAGATTAGTCCATCTGAGGGAATTGAAATACAGTCGGTGCCCTCAGATGCCCAACAGATCACTTCCATGATGAGTTTCATTATTGCACATGATAGATGACAGGCGGGCAGCGGCGAGGTCACTGCTAAATATAAACATCCACTTTTCTACTGTAATGCAGGTAATGATTGTTGCAAGAGCAAACAGTGTAATTTATTCCTGCCAGCATCTTTATTCCATAGTTTTTTTATTCAAGTGACACTGTGTGCACAATTATAATTTAGTTTTGATGATATCATTTGTATGCATATTTTCCAATTCCAGGCTGTATAAACTTGAATGCTTGTTGAATCTAAACATATCAGCTGATGTGTATTAGTTTAGTGAGGGAGGGTGGGGCTAAGAAGATCAACATCCTATATCAAGATGTGTATAATTATTAGGCAGCTTCTTTTCCTCAGGCAAAATGGGCCAATAAAGAGATTTAAGTGACTCTGAAAAGTCCAAAATTGTAAAAGGTCTTTCAGAGGGATGCAGCACGCTTGAAATTACTAAGATATTGGGGCGTGATCACACAACCATCAAACGTTTTGCTGCAAATAGCTAACAGGTTTACAAGAAACATGTTGAGAAAAAAAGATGTAAATTAACTGCCAAAGAGTTGAGAAGAATCAAACGTGAAGCTACAGGAACCCATTATCTTCCAGTCCTGTCATTTTCCAGAACTGCAACCTACCTGCAGTGCCCAGAAGTACAAGATGTTCAGAGACATGGCCAAGATAAGGAACGCTGAAACCCGACCCCCATCGAACAAGACACATAAGTTGGAACATCAAGACTGGGCCAAGACAGATCTGAAGACAGATTTTTTAAAGGTTCTATGGATTGATGAGATGAGAATGAGTCTTGACGGACCAGATGGATGGACCTGTGGCTGGATCAGTAATAGGCACAGAGCTCCACTTCACATCAGACACGAGCAAGGTGGAGGCAGGGCGCTGGTATTATTAAAGATGAGCTGGTTGGACCTTTTCGGGTTGAAGTTGGACTCAAAATCAAGTCCCAAACCTACTGCCAGTTTTTAGAAGACACTTTCTTCAAGCTGTGGTCCAGGAAAAAGTCTGCATCTTTCAAGAAGACCATGATTTTTATGCAGGACAATGCTCCATCGCATGCATCAAAGTACTCCACTATGGAAGGCCTTAAAGATAAAAGAATAATGAAGTGGTCCCCTTCCTCACCACCTAAACCCCACTGAGAACCTGTGGGCCTTTCTTAAACAGGAGATTTATGGTGAAGGAAAACGGTTCACATCTCTGATCAGTGTCTGGGAGGCTGTGGCTGCTGCTGCACAAAAAGTTGATCGTCAACAGATCAAGAAACTGACGGACTCCATGAAAGGAAGGCTTATAAGTGTTATGGAAAAGAAGGGTGGCTGTAAGGGTCACCGATTTATTTTTTAAATGTCAGAAATGTTTGTCAATTTTGAGTTGACAATAAACAAGTGAGATGAGAAAAGTTTCAGTTTTAATTCAGCTGCATAATAATTCTGCGCATACAAAAATATTGTATTAAGAAAGCCAAAATCTCATTTTTATTTTCTGAAATATTCAGTTTCGAGATAATTAACATTTTGGATTGACCGAGAGCGCTGTAGTTGTTCCACAATAAAACTATTCCTCAAAGCTACAACTAGCACGATACTTGTGCACTCAGTGTATAACAGTATCTTACAATACATGGCTCATCAGAATAAGTAAACTACAGGCAGAAATGAGACCAGTTTACAATTATCCTTTGGATAATTTTGTGCCTGTTTTTGTATATGCGTTTCCATTTTATCTCTCCTGGTTGTGAAGTATTTTAATAACATAAGGGATTAAACAACAGTTATCAAGCGTATCTATAGGTAAAACTGTTAGTGAAACTCAGTTCAAATTTTAAATTGACCTAATTGCAGGGTCTGTAATTGATTGATCACAATTAATTACGTTTTATTCAAACACATTTGAAAACCCTTTTTTGCCCCTAAATTATTGAACAAACAGAATCACATTGATGTAATTATTTAATTGAAAGTAATGTGGTAAAGTCTCCCCCCTGCAAGTATTCAGACCCTTTGCTCAGTAGTGATTAGAAGCACCCTTGTCACACCAGGATTCCTCTGCCATTCTTCCTGTTTTGATTTTAGGAAGTGGCTGTAATGAAGTGAAACGGAGTGGAAAATTTTAAAGGGGTCTGAATTCTTTCCATAACCACTGTATTTCCATATGTGCAGCATGTGCTGCCACATGCTGCTGAATTTGATTTGTCTGTGTCCTCCAGGTTTTATCATATCATGCCTCTGCCACAGAGGAGGAAACTCGGGAACTTCAGGTAACTGCTGTAAATTAATATTTCAAACTATGCATGTATGATACAAGCATCAATATGAAACTGGAGGCACAGTGACACTCAAAGAAGGGGTTTCTAAAGTCACAAAGAGCAGACCTTCTGTTTGATGAGTCATGAAATGTAACACAATTGAATCAGCACAAAGATTCCAGTATAAACAGCTCTAAATGGCTGCTTTCTGTTCATATTCACAACGGGAATAGCAGGAGAAGTTATTTAGCACTGAAGTGAACATTTAGCTGCCTTGATAATTGATGATGTGTGATGCTGAAGTAGTTACCAAAGACCCAGAAACTCTATTTCAGGCTTTACAGGCCATAATTAGCATGCTAGCTATGGCCAGTATAAAATAAACTAAACAAGAATGATAAGTCGGTATGAGATTCTCACTATGTGATAATGTTAAATATGAAAGATTTCTTTCATATTTCTCAGATTGTTTGTTGTTGCTTTCAATCTTTACTGTACAACATTTTTGAGTGTCTAGAAAAGTGTTTTATGAATAAAATGCATTATTCAGAAAATACCACAATCATACAAACAGATTTCTGATTAATTATGTACATTACAAATTGATCCCAGCTATCAGACAAAGCAGTCATGTTCAGTTGATTTTTTTCAAATTGGTTGAAAAGTTTTCTGTCAAAGGAAACCCAGCAGATTGCATGGAGTCTTTGACTTGCAGCACTTACTCCTCCTGGACGAACACAGACAGTGGAAAGGAAAACTCCTCCATAACAATTAGGAAATCTCCAGCAGAACCATAACCTGAATCAGGTTCTGCCATGGGGTCTTCAACCTGTGGCTGTGGAGCCTCGTGTGGCTCTGTGGACCATCTTCAACGACACACCCCAGAGGAAAATGTGTCCAAATGACATAGTTTTTGGGAGTTTTTTTTAGAATGACCAATTTACCAGAAGAAATGTATCAAGACAACGTAACATTTGTGGTTCTAAATGAGTATATTATCTAGACTAGCGGTTCTCAACGTGGGCGGTACCGCCCCCCGGGGGGCGTTCAGAGGACGGCAGGGGGCGCTGGCGGACATTTTTACA